GCCTCCCGAAGCCTGGTAGAGGCTAGGTGGAGGCTAGGTAACCAGGCTATAGAGAGAAGCACGTGTCTATTTTATCTCATCTTTCCGGTCGAACACCTCTCTCCCCCCGCCCGCTGTCCCGTCCATCCTCTCAGGTGATTCATGCCCCTCCTCCCCCCGGAGTGACAAGAGGGGGACACCGGGCAGGGCGGAACATCTGAACATCGTGCCTGTTACCGCGGGCCATCCCGCACCTAGCGTGAGACAATTATTGCTCAGCTCTCCGGGCGAACTTCAAAAGATTGACGCGCGTTCGGCGGTCTTACAGGCGGGCAAAGACCCCCTGCGAACCCCATCTGCGCTCCCCTGTGCGGGGCGGGCGGCCCGGGACCGATGTTATTTTTGTCTCCCCGAGAAATCTGACGACACAATAGGGCCGTGGTGATCGTAACACGACACAGGGGATACAAATCTGTTCCTCACCAGTCAAACGGAGAGATATGGAGAAAAATACGAACGGTTTCGTTTCTTTTTAGCTAGAAGGTTTGCTTTTTTTTACATGTTTCTGTCCCAAAGTTGTCACGGCAGGAACCCAGCGGTAGCTTGTTGTTAGGTTTAATTGGGCGCGGGGTGGAGTAGCCCTGAACAAATAAAAACGGACCACACAACCGGCGGGGGAAAGCACTTTCATGTCACTTCCTATTAAAGTAAATGGCGCTCGTCAATTTGATTGGGGGAACTACATGTATAATCGCGACTTCCTTGCGTTTGATACATTCCTGACTGTTGCATGTGTAGAGAAAGATTCAATCGTATCCGTGACATTCTGAGCTCACCTCTGTATGCTCCCAGGGTATGCTCCCAAGGGGTAAAACCTTTTTACTTCAGGGAATAGAAAGGCTCTGTATGTATTTCTATTCTATTCATCCTATTCAACAGGCTTCCCATTCTGGGAAAAGAGAAAAATCCCCTTGTTTGACCAAGGAATTGTACCGTGGTAAAGAGAATTGCGAGGTGTTTGTTTTTAGACGAGAGAGCTCGAGCGCGGTTCTGGTGGATGAAGACACCGTACGTCGTGCCGGGAGGATGCGGAAGATGAGGTGAGGGTACACCGGACACCACGGCTGTCGTCTCTCGGTGAAAATGGACGACATGACGGCGTGGAAACTGGAAGAGAAGGGAGGCAGATGTGGCGAGGAGAGCTCCAGCGGGGAGGACCTTTTGTTAACCCAGCTCGCCCTCGGGGCCTTCTGTCCTCTTCCACCACGCACCACGCGGCTTCGCCTCCACCAACGTATTAATTAAACAATTTGTCCCAGATTTGTCTATTTCTAAAGGAAGAAAAAAACGCCCGGAGTGTTCACAGATCTGGATACACTGAATGGTGTCTTCCAATCATCACCCAGTACGATTTGCCAATCTAAATTCAGATAAAATTGAGGATGAATTGTCATTTTGTTGCAAACTGTGCATTATGTATAGAGATAGACATTGATAACTTAACCAGTTTTCGACGTTTAGATAGAACAGAAATATTCGCATTCCATATGGAATTAGACAAACAGTGTGTTATGAACTCCTTATGTTCATACATCTACATAGTAGTATAGTCTGTATAGTTGTAGTACGATATCTGTGATTTGAATTCTACTAGTACTTTACACATAACCTGTATTTAGCTTGTAAGTGTGTAAACGTATAGTAAATAGGTCCTTCTTTGACATTCATGATAAGAATTACGCCCCTCAAACAGACTCAATATGCGGATCCTGATTTCTCATTTCATCACGGAAAAATTACATATAGTATATGTATACCTCTTGGCAATTTTATCCGATTCTTACGGACTTCTGTTTCAAACGAGACACCATGGACACAGAACTACAGCGATACTTTACACATAATGCCGATCACTTATGATAGAAGATAGCAAAAGCCAGAAAAATATCGGGTCTAAACCTGGGGTTAGCCGTGTGCAGAGAGCGAGACTTCATATCATAAATGTTCCATATCACATCAGGTATGTCATGTTCTGGGGCTTGAGCCGCTAATATCCCATACAGAATCAATTGTGCATGGCACAGGACGTTATTATATACATTATATACACTACAGGACAGAGCCTGTTGAGCACTAGCCAATGGTGGCTTATTTTTAAAGGCACCCAATGCGATTTCAGGGCAGCAAAAACTGGAAATATTCTGAATAAGGCAATATTTGTGATATTAACACATACTGCTTCACATTGGCACATTTGAGTCAGAATTTCAATTGGGCATATTGGATCTTTTATGGCCCGAGATCTTCTCTGGTATACTATCCCTTTATTTCGGCCAATTTCTACTATTTTTCCAGCGATCCGCGGTGCCTGGTAGAGGCTATACAATATGCGCAGGCTGGACCTTATGTACACACACACACAGGCCATACTTGTAAATATCCCCATGGCAACGCTGGAAATAGACACAACCGAGCGCACTTGTTTACCCTCCCTAACCCCCGGCACGACAATCTCTTTCACACGTGTTTGTTTACAAAGCAAGCCCGGCAGCCGCTCGTAAGTAAACAGCCGCAGATAATCGGTAGAGTCGTAACAACTAGTTTTTTTATGTTTATTGCGGGCTATCAATTAAAAGAAAGCTGGATAAATAAACATGATAAATGGATACTAAATCCCCGAATGGCAATGGAGAGAGAAGATCGTGTGAAGTAGTGCCATGAATATGCAGGAGTGCTGAGGTAAAAGGACCGAGACTTCTCTACAGTAGCGCCTTTGTGTGAGCTTTCTTGGTCCTTGCCTGCCTACATCGTTCCTTTTGTGAGGGAGATGTTAAAGAAATGCAAACAGAACTCGCTCGGATGACGATCGGGTGAACAACAGCGTTTTGAGTTCATGCCATGAGCTTTATATACATATGAATGACCCGCCACCGACGAAGTTTCTAAAGTCTCTCATTTTGTCTCGGTTGCTCCGCGGTAAATGTTTCTCGTTCTCTTTTTTTTTCAGAAATATCATATATCATATCATAATCGTATTGCAAGAGTGATACAGCGATTTCAACGCTCCAGGCTGCTGCAGTGATGGCGAAAAACGAAAGGGGTCATCCCTAAGGACACGTACTAGTAGGGCGACATGTCCATGTTGTCACACGGATGTACTCAAGCAAGATCACCTCGTCTTTCCGAGCGCTTCGTTCTATTACGAGCTTCGCTCCCATAATAAAACAGACGTGATCCCCCCTCGATTGTTCGCCGTGATAAACAATGTCTTGCCGTGCCAAACAATCGGTCACTTCGCAAGAAATAAATGACCACCGAACCCTTTCAGGCGGGACTCAAAGGGGACCACACATCGAGGGAGTCCGGAGAGAGTGAGAGAGAACCACCGCGGCTTGAGTACAGAGTACTAGTAGCTTCCATAGCATGCCAAAAACTGGGGGGTTTGGGGGTCTTCATAGTCTTTGGGCGCTTTTATGTGCTATTTTCTGATTGCATATAGACAACATAGCCGGCCTGGTTGAATTACCCCCGTTTTAGAACTGGGCTAATCAGAAAACAGCCAAAGACCACCAAACTCCCAGTTCTATAACTTATAGTATAAGCCTAAAAACACGCCAAAAAATAGTCACCGGATTCTAAAAGTCTGCTTGAAGAGTACTTATAAAGATTGATTCTAGACTATAGGTCAGAAAAGCTGACAATAATCTGCAAGCAGATATTGGAGGGGAAAGTGTCGTGCCGTCTGACGTTCAGATTATTCTGACGGTTGGCAGACGGAAAAGTTTCATGAATACAACCCCCCCCCCTTATATGTGGAACACTGGTTATAAAAAATGGTTATGTCTGAGGACATCTAACTTAACAATTTAATTTCATACCACTTGAGCACCTACAGCTTTCAGAGATAAAATGTCGAGTTAGTGACTGACACTAGGACATGTATCAAAACAATGCCAATGTGTACAGCCACGGCCGAATGTTACGATTTTGCCACCTAAAGATCTGATTGTAGTCTCCACCAGGCCTTCCTACGGGGCTACGGATCATATAGAATTCGGCAAAGAAGGGAAATAGTTGGCCAAGAGAGTCAGTCCGCGGGAGGGTTGATTAATTTCGCCCTCCGAAGGCAAATGAAATGACCAACGGTGGCTAAACTCCACTGCCAAATAGTTCATTTCCTATTTCGCTAAATTTTGCAGATTTTGAACCCAATTTGTTAGTCTGGTACTAGACTAATTTGATCGGATATTAGTCCACGCTGTGACAGACGGGTATATATACGTCGTTTTTACTGTAAGCTGCCTCCATGCTACAAGTTCTTTCATTACCTTACTTGTAACCAGGAAGGCGTGAAGTGATTGTTGTACGTATAACACAGATAACCTGTATCATCGGGGTAGAAGTATTTTTGCATAACACTGTGTTGACTAAAATATGAAATATTCTGGCTCGATTCTTCGGAGAAGAACTTCAATAACGCTGAGAATTATCACACAATTTTGTCATAAAATAAATGACAAGATTGTGTGATCTGCACATGTGAGTTTTTTTTTTAAATATTGACAAACCTACTCCCGACTTTGGAAAATAACGTTTAAAATGGAGAACGCACCTGACAAAAGCCGGTACCCAAATGCCGACGTTTTCTTTTAAAAAAAGTATTGTGTATATCCACCAAAGAACGGATAAGAGCCTGATTTTAGTGGAGTTTAAAGTCTGTAGCCTGATCGGTATAAAATCACTACAATTTCGTCGCGATTTCTTTTTCCGATCGAGCGGCAAAGATTGTGCACCAAAAAAAAAACTCTAAAAAAAAACAGTTTTCTCCTACAGCTGTCTCTGATTTTGATGGAGCATTTGTGTGCCGTGACTGGCACTAAACTTTGTTAATTAATGAGTTTTGTCACCTTGCTGTTATTTGTTGAGGTATACGTACAACTCGGTACCAGCACACGCTGTCACTAGAAAACTCAAGGTCTGACACACAACAACATGGAATTGAACAACAAACACAAGGCATATAGGTTTCACCTGACATTTTAATAAACAAATAAAACGATACGAGAGATCAAAAATAACACGTTTCCTCCTCCTCACATAACACAAACAAACGCAACACTAGTACTGTAGTATAAACCGGCAATAACCACTGATGTGAAGATACGGGAAACAATACAGCTCTATCTCTGCCAGATTAATCCAATCAATTAAACTGTAGTTTTTAGAACAAGATAAGAAGCCAGTAGGATATGTGGGTAATCAATCTTTCAACTGTCCACGGGAACAACTACTAGTAGTACTTCTGATCAAGAAAAACAAAAAAAAGGAGGAACAGAAAAAAAAGAAAGGCTTCTTGCGGAAACAGCTGCAAGAATGACACCAATTACAAGGAGATCGTAAAGCCACAGTAGTGTTTTTCTGTGACGCTAATTATCTCGTAGGTCCTTATTTTGGTAAGCTGATATCTTCCATCTGCCGTTGAAAACGATCCTGTGTTACTTTATTGCGATGTTTGGGTTTTTAATCTGCATGAGCGCTGATCCGATAAAGGATAAAGACACTCAACTATCACTCATCATATCACACACATAAGTACAGCATCTTCATCATAATTTACAAATATCTGTAGAGTTCTCTCTCTTTCAGGCAGACAATTTATAGTTTACACTCTGCAACAATATCATTACATTTTACAGTGTACATTGTTCACAATTTGTGGGGATGTGGTGAATTCCCACTTTTAGTCGATAGCAAAGAAACTATGTAGATGGACTCACAACAACTTGTCTCCTTCCTTGAACAAATCACTTGTAGAGAAACTTTAACTTTCACTGTCTGAGAACGGATAAATAATGTACATAGAGTCTTTGTGTTGTGTCCCGGTCTCACCGAGTGGCGATCGCGAGGGTGGCGGGTACGGTGGTCGGTACCACCGGCGAGGACGAGCCGGAGGGCGGGGTGAGGCTGCCCGGAGCAAGGCTGACGGCGACTGGCACGACTGGTCCCGAAGCCTGGCTGACGGCGGGCGGGGGAAGGGCGGCGAGAGGCGACGGCTTGATTGGCACGGGTATGGCGGGAGCGTTCCCTGACGTTTTGAGCTGGACTCCCTGTGAAATAAAGTCCCGGTTGACATGTGCTACTGGTCCCAGCACCATGCCCGGTAGGCCGGTGAGCGAGTCCGTAGAGCAGAGACCGTGCACGGGCCACGTACATGCCCCTGTGGAAGTCACGCACACCGTGTAGCCGCAGTGTCCGGGCAGGGTCGGCGCTACTAGGCCGGGGTGCGGGAGAATGGACGCGGGTTTACACTCGGGCGCGATGATGTTCTCGATGTTGAACGGGTGTTTGGTCGTGACGGGCTGGGCTGGGACGCCGAGAAGTCCACAGTGCGGCGGCGGGAGTTGTGCGTGCGTGCCGGGGGCCGCCATTTGGGACAGGCGCAGCTTGGCCTGTTCGTGCAGCAGTGCCGAGGGGGGCGCGGCGTCCATGTGTGACATGGGCTTGACTTGGATGCCGTCCGCCGCCACCACATGACTCTTCTGCTGCCGCGGCATTGACTTGAAGCGCTTCCTCCGCCGCAGGAAGCTCCCGTTCTCGAACATGTCCCCGCACATCGGGTGCAGCGCCCAGAAGCTGCCCTTGCCCGGCTGGTCCGGCCTGCGAGGGATCTTGATGAAGCAGTCGTTGAAGGAGAGGTTGTGACGTAGAGAGTTCTGCCAGCGCTGAGTGTTCTGTCTGTAGAACGGGAATCTGTCCATGATGAACTTGTAGATATCCGACAGCGGTAACATCTTCTCCCCGGAACTCTGGATGGCCATGGCCGTCAGGGAGATGTACGAGTACGGCGGCTTCTCGTTCCCGTAGCTGTCCTTCCCCGGCCGCGGCATCTTCCAGACTAGGGGCACGGAGAACGAGCGACGAACTCAGTTGCAGAGAGGAGACGCGCCGCGCCACCCACCTAGACGCTCTGGCAGGCTGTCAGGGCGGTTGTGAAACACGTACTCGTACTACGCCTCAAGGGCACACAACAAGACGTAACCTCTGCTCTCTGAGCGACCAGAATGGCAACAGCGTGTAGGCGGCGGTGGGAACCCACAAGACGGGAGGTGTTCACGCTGGAACAGGCTGGGTCGGTACTGGCGAGGCGAGTCAGGGTTCTGTTGTGTCGTGCTCAGTGGTAGTAACGTGCTCCACTGAAGCCGGCCGTGCCGTGGTGTTGACATATGTAAAGCCCCCCTACAGCGGTTGTTTTTTAATGCAATAGCAGCTGATTAATACATGCCAATCAGAACGGAGAGGGCGGTGACGCTCGCTGGGGGCTGGCTGGCTGCTCTCAACTCGACAACACCCCCACCAAAATAAATAACTCATCTATACGCAGAAAATCCCAGTATTGTTCGATAATTCTTTACAATCAATGTCCACGAGCCTGCAAGAGACCAACCAGCGGTGAGGCTTGCCGGAAATGGCCGCCGACGAGACCACAACCGTCCCTTCAGGGGCCAGCAGTCAAAAGGTAAGTTACTACCATTAATTCTAGCACTACGGCATCTAGTACATCCTACATACTGCTCTCTTTAACTTCTGTGTATTCAGTTTTTACGCCTGGAGCGTACTATACCAGTACAGTACACAGTGGCCCATTACTTACTCGAAGCCATACTTTGTTTAGAGGTGCAAAGTGGATTCATTTATCCAGCTCATTATTATGCATCGGTACTCGTCCAGGAGTGATTATTGAATGGCTTTATTGGTGATTCCCCGGTACTCAATTGGGGGTGATAATTACCACCTCTGGCGTGCGGCAACTTTTAAAGTGTTCACTCTGTCGGGGATTATTGTGAGATAATAGGAAGGGTCCAATGTGTTGTTTACACGCCGTAGAGAGATAATGCAATAGGAATTTAACACATTGAAAAGCTCGCGGTGTTTTTAATTGTGTGCGAGGCTTCTCTTTATCCGACTCACACAAACGACAAGACACAGTGGGGGCGATCTTCGCCAGGTAAGAAAAGGTGTATCAAGATGTGTATTGAATCGAAAATACGGTCATAATCCAACCCTCTCTATTTCCGTAATCCATGGGATTTGGTTTCTAAGTTTTGTTAATCCTGTCGGTTGCGTATGATAACTAGTACTAGTCTAGTCGGTTGAGAGAAAAAAAAAGGTTCTGTGTCGAGAAATTGGTAGACAATTATACTTGTTAGGCCATTGGTTTGTATGCAAATTAGACACGTGCATAGTCTCGAACACAGACGCTTTTTGGCGGAAAAAGTCGACAGTGCTAGGTATACTCTCCAAGCAGAAGTTTAGGTTTAGAACTTATTTTGGCCTGTTTTTAAATGCGTTTTTATCAGGCTTTTGTTTTGTACGGGTATCTTTTTTTACGCCAGCACGTGGCAAATTAATGTTAACTGGTTGGCAAATGGATACTACCTGGCCAATTTGATACTGTCTTGCGACCACCGAAAGATCTGCTTGGAGATGACCACAATACTTCAGCATAAAGGCTGTTTAGAGTCTATTTGGTAGTGGGCCTTCGTAACTAACCTCCACCAGGCTTCTTGGAGGTGGCTGGAAAAATTAGAAATTGGCCAAATCGGAGAGACATAACATGCCGGGGGAGTTGTTCCGGCACACTGTACTTTCTAGCGGACCAACTCCACCGGTAGCCTACGCACCAGGCTTATAGAACTGGGGGTTTGATGGTCTTCGGCTGTTTTCTGATCAAGCTCAGTTCTCAATTCAACCAGGCCGGCTATGTTGTCTATATGCAATCAGAAAATAGCACATAAAAGCTCCCAAAGATCCTGAAGACCCCCAAAACCCCCAGTTTTTGGCATGCTATGGAGGCTACTCCATCGGCATATTGTCTCTCTATTTTATTTGGCCGATGTCTACTCTTTCTAGCCGCCCCCCGAAGCCTGGTAGAGGCTACTTTGTGACGATAAATTATCGTTAGGCAACACTGTGTCCCCTGGCGGCGGCAACAGGGCACGGCACGGCGGGTCCCAGCGAGAGTTACGGCTCTCAATATTAGATTCATCGTCATTCATAACCATCATTAAACGGCGGCCAAAATCATTTTTGGTAGGCCGGGTGGGAATACGAGCAGGCGCGAACAAGAGAATGAAATAACACCGCGATTAGCGTGATCACAACACCAGAGCAAAGACAAAGGACAACCTATACCGAACGGCAGATATCATATCACAGACAAATCCTCAGATTATGATAAAGAAATCCAGGATTAGGCACGATTTTGTAGTTTAAAAAAATAATCTTCTACATTATTTTTACTCTCCAAGCAGAGGTTGTGTGTGTGTGTGAATGATCGTTAGCTTTTTATATATGGCCCTTTTTTTGTCGGTACCCACACCGTCGGTGGCCGGCGACCTTCTCTGACTAATGGATACTGCCTGGCCAATTTGATACTGTCTTTTTGCCACCGAAAGGGATCTGCTTGGAGATTACATTATTTTGTCAATATAGAGTCTATGTTTTTTACCTTCAGTCATGAAAAGTCGCTTCTAAAAACTTCCTTGCTCTGACGTTACACATGTATGTCGGATCGACCATGTCATAGTATTCAGTGGGCCCGCGATCAACGAAAAAAAATCATTGTTTTTGACGTGATTTTAGACTATTTTATCGGGCTTTCTTTTTTTGTACTGGATTTTTTTTATCGCGGATTGGATTCTCTATCCTTATCTTTAATGGAAATACCTTTATTGTACATTCATGCCACGTCGGGCTAGGTACAGGCCAAGACTTAACAGACACATAACAGACGTATGTAGAAAAGTGTAGACAAAAGATACACTACTTGACTTAAACATACATAAGGAACATACAAGGGTACTACACTAGGCTAAGTGTTCTAGTTACTGAGCTAATACAGAGTGGGCAACTGTCTTACCGATCTGATACTATCTTAATTGCAGGCACCAAAAGATCTGCTTGGAGATTAGGGGGAAAAGAGGTGGTACAGCGCCGGAGATGTTTTTTCTCAGCCGGCGGTGTCGTCAGCTCAGGGCGGTCGCTCGGTGACATCTTTGCGGCTTTTCGCGCTGCGCCGCCCCAGGGCAGCATTTCGCCGAGGTATTTATACATTCGTCTCGTTTTATTAGTCTCATATCGTTGAAAATTAGGTTATATTAATGTAATGATACGTTCATTACGGCGGCTCAGGGATGGGCACTAACTCAGTTTTAAAGCCACTCAAATCGAATCAACTGCATCGCCTTTGGCAAAAATATAACCCCTCTGTTTTTTTCTGCTCCCTCTCTCCACACACAATGTCGCGGAACAAAAATGACAAATCATGGCGATTTGGGTGGCGGAGAAGGGCAAAGTGTAGAGGTGACAATGCGCCCGGCACAGCGAGTACGACGTTTTAAACAATGAGCCGGGCGAAGCGAGAGTAATGTTTGTCCCGTACCCTGCAGCCAAGCCGCTGATCTGGACTATGTCGACACATTTCAAAGTGGTCGTACCTATAATTACTACATCAGTACAGTCTACTGAGCGGAGAGTTTCATACAGGTTGACGGGAAAAAAACGCGCTAAATTTAGAGTACTGACGAAAAAAAAAAACGCGCAAAATTTTTCATTATGGTATCTGTTCTCAGTTATTAGACGGGCAGCAATGCAGTTTTAAGGGCTTGAAAATCAGTTTTTTTCAAAGTCAATATTCTAGTCATTTAACTACATAGTGAGTTGAAACAACACTATCCCAGTGTATATTGACATTCGTGGAGCAAAAACACCGAAAATAGTGATGGAAGACTGTAGGATCTTGGTCTGATTTTTAGGGTACCACCCAAAAATAAAGGACTAATTTTGCGGCTTATTTCTGCGCTTTAATGCCTAAAGTATGAAATGCTGACTCAAATGTGCTAATGTGGGCCAGTTTGTGTCAATATCATACAGATTGCCTTATTCAGAATATTTCCAATTTTGACGCCCTTGTAAGAAACCAGGAGGAGACAGTAGAAACAGATAAAAACCCCTTGGTCCCGGGCGGGTTCGAACTCACGGCTCCCGGGCCACAGGCAGACGCTCTAACTGAGTGAGCTAAAAGGTCTAGACCCCCAACTGTTACACTACTCCCCCTTTTCTTTTCAAGATTCGTCCTCGAATCTTCCGAATTCGACATCCCTGGAGCGGCACTCTTTGCCAGAACTCACAGGGCCGGTGTGGGAACCAGTGTAAGAAACCAGGAGGAGACAGTAGAAACAGATAAAAACCCCTTGGTCCCGGGCCGGATTCGAACTCACGGCTCCCGGGCCACAGTCAGACGCTCAAACTGAGTGAGCTAAAAGGTCTAGACCCCCAACTGTTACACCCTGAAATTACATTGGATGCCTTTAACACATGATGTAAAAAAAAGTTTTTTTTAATGTCAGAATTTCTCCTATTGGTTGACTTTTAATTGTTTCTTTTTGCGCCAGTAGCGAAGAACAATATGCTTACCGTATTAAAGATCAGTTTTTGAATGTGGGAAACTCACGGAACTAAATTGTACGTGTGTCGACTATGGGTTATGGAATACGGAATATGGTTCTCAGAGTGTCCATCATATCTACATGTACATCATATCTATATATCATGAAATAACATACAAGAAACATGTATAGCCACATCTTTATTTATTTACAGTACTCTACCAACTAGCCTCTACCAGGCTTCAGAGGCGGCTGGAAAGAGTAGACTCAAGCCGATACCTTTACCAATAGCCTCTACCAGGCTTCAGAGGCGCGGCTGGAAAGAGTAGAACTTGGCCAAAAAGACAGATAATGCCACTGAAGTTAGTCTGCTAAAGGTGTACAGCGGCAAACTGTACTCCTTTAATTCAACCAGGCCGGCTATGTTGTCTATATGCAATCAGAAAATAGCATATAAAAGCTCCCAAAGACCCTGAAGACCCCCAACCCCCCAGTTTTTGGCATTATATGGAGGCTATGACTATGCATGGAGGCCATGGTAACCTAGTCTTTACCAGACTAACTACGCTGGCTATATATATAGGAGAATATTTGCCAGGGGAGTTTGGCCGCTTTGTAGGTTTGACTTTGGAGGGAAAGAAACTACCTCCCCGCGGCCGGACTCCCTTGGCCCATTTTATTCTCTTTTTTGCCGAATTCTACGATCCGTATTGCCATAGAAAGGCCTGGTGGAGGCTAATGGTAAACAACTAGGAAGGTACCCAGGCTAGTTTCCATAGCCCGAAGCCACCACTCCGTGTCTGCGTAAATTCGATAACCGAAAACCTCAGGGCTGGCGGGATGGAATAAAACGTCAAAGCAAACGTAAATAAGGATATCTCTTTGAAGGAAATGTTTATGTGAGGATGATGCAGATCTTACTCGTCATTGGAAAATTCTGTGTGGGTTACAAAACTGTGTCAGCCACGTTAATAAGGGAAAAGTTCTGTGTGTGTGTGTTTGTGCTTCTAACAGGTGGTCGTGTGGTTTAGCCACACAGGTCATCGATTCAAA